CTTTGACAACAAAACTGCTCTAGAGGATGAGGGAAAAAAAGGAAACCTCATACAATGCTGGTGGGAATGTAAATTAGTACAACCACTATGGAAAGCAGTACGGAGGCTCCTCTAAAAACTAAAAATAGAGCTGCCATACGATCCAGCGATATCACTCCTAGGTATATGACTGAAGGAATGTAAGTCAGGTTACAATAAAGACACCTGCACACCATGTTTACTGCAGCATTATTCACAATAACCAAGTTATAGAAATAGCCGAGATGCCCGGCAAATGATGAATGGATTAAGAAAATGTAGTATTCATATACACTGGAAATTTATTCCGTCACAAAGAAGAGAGAAATTTTATTGTTTGCAGGTAAATGAATGGAACTGGAGAACATCATCTTAAGTGAAGTTAGCCAGGTTCAGAAGGCCAAAGGGCACATGTTTTCTCTCATATGTGGAAGATAGACCTAATAAAAATACAAGCAATATTATGATGAACAGGTCAAGCTAAGGGGAGGTCACATACCAGAGAGGGAAGGTAAAAGAAGGAAATTAAGAAGGTGAATATGGTTGATGTACATCCTACACAAGAATGAATACAGAATTTTTAAACCTGTTGAAACTACCATAAGAAGAGGACTAGGGTAGAAAGGAGAAAAATAGAGACTATGAACCAATTTGGGATATAACACATATAGACATGGAAATGTCACAATGAAACTCCCTGTATAGATATCTTAAACAAACAAAAATGTCTTTTTTCAAAAATGGAGAACAGGAAGGTAAAATGGGTCCTGTCTGGGGGTTGGGTCTAGTGGGAAGGAGCAGGATATAAGGAAAGGATGTAAAAGGGCAAATGTGGTAGAAATATTATGTACTCATGTATATAAATGAAAAAATGAGACCTATTGAAACTATTCCAGGAGTGGGGAGGGGAGGAATAAAGGAGAATGATGGAGGGAGTGAATTCAACAATGATATATTATAAGAACTTTTGTAAATGTCACAGTGTACCCCCAGTACAACAATAATATGATAGCAAAAAAAAGAAAAAAATTTTAAAAGTTGTTGTAGAAAATTCTTTAATCCCTATAAAATTAAATCAGAGATAGTATTCAAAAAAAAAAGGATAAATTCATATACTTACATATAGAGGTACTGATACAGACATAGATTTGCTATACATCTTATGTGTCCATATTAAATACACATAAGAATAATCTGTATACAGAAGGCCAGACACCAACAGATGGTCTTTACTTGGGGCTTCTACTTTTATAGTAACTAAAAATCCAACCACAAAACAACAGGACAGTGTCAAGATACAGAAATGAATAAGGGAAATTGTAGAGGGATAAATTCTAATCCTTGACATCTTTATTGAAAAAGAGTCAGTAACCTACTGCACATTAACAACAAGAACCTTAACCTATAGCAAGCAACAGTGAAAGATAAATTCTAGGTTAACAGCAAGATATGACCTACCATCTGGTACTTTTGCTGGCTTCAGAACTAGACAAAAACACAAATTCTAAAGCCATATATTAAAGGCAGAGAAGTAAAAATTGAAGATCTTCATATGCAAAATAACAAGCCAAAGAACAAAGGAAAAATTTCAAAGACGCTCCCAGTCCTATCCTACCTCCAAAGACAACCACAGGTTCTAGACTGTATTCTCAAATCCAGATTTAACTCACTGATTTGGAACGTAGAGATCACCTTCTCCTAGAAACAGCACTATAAATAATATATGGGGGGGGGTTCTCCTAACCCATAATGCTTAAGTTTCCCTGCATGCAGTGTGATCTTTAAGAGGTTTCTGGGTTGCATTACTTTGGGCCCTTCAAATCAGCAATTTAAAACTGTCATTCATAACCTCAGGGTTTGTACCACAAAGTGAAATAGTAGACACCCAAGATAAACATGCAAAGCTAGCCTATAGTTTGAATGTGACTTGTTCCCTGAAAGTTTGTATGTCGGAAGCTTGGCCCCTAGTGTAACAGTGTTGGGAGATGGCATGAGATCTTTAAGAAGTGGGGCCCAGTGGAGGGTGATTAGGTCACTGGGGATGCAGCCCTTGGAAATAGTTAATACTGCCTTGTAGAGTGAGTTAGCTCCTGTGAGAGAGTTGTTATAAAAGAGCAAGAATGCCTGCCCTTACTCTGACTTCCTACCTCTCTTGCTTTTAATTCCTCCTCCCCACTCTCTTACAAACTCCTGCCATGATGTAACAAAGTTAAGAGGTTCTAACCAGAAGTAGCAAAATGCTGCTTAGACTTTCAGACTCCCAAACTGTGAGCTAAATAAACCTCTTTCTTATCAACCATCTGTCTTCAGGTATTTTGTTGCAGCTATGGAAAACTATTACAGCTAGGGATGGCACAAAGCAATGAACACCTGTGGGTGGGCTGGCAGTCATCCTCTATCTCAATCTGTTTCCAGGATAATGGAATATAATGGGGTTAAAATCTCACCAAAGATGCTTTTGAGGCCAAGGATTTCATTAGAATTAGCTCATCTTTATATCAACCATTGGCCACTCACAATGTCGTAGTTCTGACCAAGGCTATGCACAGTTTATTCTGTTTTTACTCAGAAATCATGACTGACATGTTGCCTAGTTATTTCCGGAAGTAATGTAATATTTTCACATATTCTCCCTTTTTTTGAGGACATATGTTTTTCAGCAATAATCCTTGCTCTAACAGCATTTAAAGTGCATTAACTTACATTAATTTTCCAGTTTCATTTGCACTTGATGCGTGAGCCATGTCGTAATTTCTACATCCCCAAAGATTATTAACTTGGCATCTAACTTGTAAAACAATAATCTTAGCTCAGGCTCAACTTGTTCACATCATGCCACAGATCAACGTGTAGCTAAAAATAGAAAAATAAGCTATTCTAAACAAGAACAGGAGTCTCTGAGATGAAATTTCAAAACAAAATTTCATTTATGTTTAGGAAGAAGGGAGAAAAACATACACTATAATAAGTTACTGCCTGAAGAAAATCACTTACTGGTTCTGTGTCAAGGTTAAGCAAGCTCTTTCTTCTAATTCATTAAGGATACCCTCAGGCTATCCTCAGAAAATGTAGGTGCTTTAGTGGTAATCACCCAAATTATCCAAATAAAACACTGCTTCAGTGTCAAGGTGGGGGTCTCAATATAAATCATAATTGTCTCTGAAACAAAGTGTCTATTCCTCTCTCACTGCTACAGAGAGTAGATTGACATTTACAGATATAATTCTTCTGTCAGTGGCATTCCTAAATCAAGCATGGAGAAGGTTCCTAAATTTTGCTCCCAGGATTCTCAAAGCTTTTAATGAGCTCCCAAAAGAACCTGGCATGTCCTCTCTCTGAAGAGCTCACAGGATAAAAGACCCCAAGAAAGTCCCTCAAGAAAGGAAATTCTAGGCTGTTAGAATCTGGTACTCTCCAGTAAAAGCCATGCTTGGTGACATGCACACCAAGAGCCTCCAAGAAAACAAACAAACAAAAAACACCTGACAAAAATGAAGAACATATATTGCCATGATAGGTAATCAGCCACCTAGTCTGGCCTGGGAAACAGCTGAGATACTGGAACCCCAAAAGGTCTGGGGAGCAATGGGTGAATTTGGTTTGCATGACACCCATAAGCCTTGTCACACTCAAAGGAAGACCTCGTGGCCCATGTTTATGACATGGAATTGTGATTCTCAAAGAATTCTTGGGCCACAGCAGAATCAGCATCATCTGGAAACTTAGAAATGTCAGTTCTCAGGTCCATGAATAAAGTCAGAACCTGTGGGGGTACCCAGAAATCCATGTCTCCACAAGTCCTATGAGGGCTTCTGGCATCCAGGCAAGCTTAAGATCCACTGTGTACAATGAATTAAAATCATCTCAGGCAGTGATGATCGGGCAATGACCTTTTCTCCTCCCAAAGCAATGGTAAGGATCAGCAGATCAAATGGAGTCCAGGTGAGGTTTCAAGGTGTTTTTTGGTTTTGTTTTGTTTTACTATACCTCCTTTTTACCCTCTTCATTTTCAATTTGGGAATTTTGGTAACAGGCACCAACAAAGTAAGAGAAGGTAAACATCAAAATAGATCTGATCTACCCTGGGGCCCAGCATATGCTGGGAAAGTTACTGCTACCTGACCGTTCTGTTCCAAGTACACATGCAACATTAATAGCAATTGCAAGAGACCACACAGTTAAAGAAAACCCACCAAACTTACTCGCCAACACAACTAGGACACACTAAGCCTTCTTCACAGCTTTTCCATTCACAGTATCTAGCTATTAGAGATCACACAAAATAGAACAAGAGCATATCAGCCAATACAGAAGCTGGAATTTCAAAACAAGTGCTTTAAATCATTTAAATGTCTCACTTTTTCTATAACAAAAAACATTTATACAAGCCCCTTCCTCCCCAATTAACTTTCTGGCCTCCAAACAAAAATCTATTATTTTATCTATTCTTGACAATATAACCCTTAATTTTGAATCTAGCACAGAAAAAATTCCCACTTTTAGTAGAAACACAAGACTTCAATTTATCACCAATGGCTGTTCTTATTTTGCTTCTCATGGTTTAAATTTCAAAAAATGAGACTATGGAAAAGCAATAGCAAGACAAAACATACCACTGGAGATCAGAAATTAAATGTGTAGCAGAAAGAACCTTCATGCACAAAGTATACCTGTCCACACTACCCTGTGCATCTGTGCCTCACCTACCTCCATGAAACAACCCAGCACTACTCAGAAGCCTCTTCATTATTAGCCACTGAACACTCAAGAAACCAGTCCTGTGTCCTCCTGGGAAAGCGGGTAGCACTGCATAATTAACGTATGTGTCTTGATTTGTAGTATCATATCCTTGTTGCTATTTTTTCAGCATTAAAACCCAGTCATTGTAAACCTAGTCACTTTCTTCTTTAGTGGTAATTAGTGTTAGTCATAAACCAAAAATGATTCCACATAAGAAGTAAAATAAACACAACCCTTCTTACCTTTCATGCCAAACTTGGAGTGTCTTGCCAACTTAAGCAAGAACAGCATTACCAGCAGACAAAATCCCACCACAGACGCAATTACCACCACGGCATAAACCTGGGGAGAGGAAGAGAAGCAGTGAAAATCTTGCTAATTAGTTCCCTGTAATTATATGACAGCGGTGATGACTACAGTTAATGTTTATTGAATGGTTACTGCTTTCTCCTATAATGGCTTTAAATACATTAATTCACTTAATTCTCTACAACCCAGTGACAAAGCACATAGGTCCTATGATTATGCCTACTTCACAAGTGAGAAACCAAAAGTGAAAGTTCATAAAATGGGTATTTAATTAATAGAATATATAATCATAATATATCCCTCATCTCATCTGGAGACAGGGCGGGGGTGGGGGGACAGAGAGAGTGAGAGAGAGAGAGGGAGATGACAGGAATAAGTGGGAAACTCAGTTCACAGTGCTACCACTGCTCCTTAGTGCAATACAACACAATGCCACTCTAAGTACATCCTAACATGTTACAAATAAAGATGTAAGCACACTGTGCCGCACCTTCCAGTTTTGCTCAGCCCAAGGTCATGTTTCCAAAACAAAAGTTCCAAGGAGGTGGCAAACCTTGGTTACGTGTCAGATAGTAAATGTTAGGCTCTTTAGCCATCTGTTTGCAAGGATTTGACTCTGCCAGCATGAAAGGAGCCATAGAAAATGTGGCAACAAATGGGCATAACCATGTTCCAATAAAAGTTTATTTACAAAAATAGATGGGTGGCTGGATTGGTAGTTGTCATAGTTTGACAATTCCTGCTTTAACTGTCAGGTGTACACACTGACTGAGACACTTAAACTTCACTGTGTCATTTAATCTACATAATAATCCCCAAACAGATCATTCTATCGCCCTTTGAGGTAATCATTAATTAGCACAATTCACCAAAACTTTCCGTTTTTCCCTACATTTCTCTATAAAATGCACTTCTTGGCTTGCTTGTGGTTAGGCAGGTTCATGTGACTAATTGGTAATTTCATTGCTAGTCTGACATCTTTGTCTAAGGCAGTGGTTCTAACCAGGGATGAAATTGCCACCCAGGGGACAGTTGACTATTCTGGCTGGTCAGAACTCAGGGGACAGTTGACTATTCTGGCTGGTCAGAACTCAGGGGAAGATGCTACTAGCATCTAGTGGGCAGAAGTCAGGGATGCTGCTACAATGACTAGGGCAAGAATCTCAAACAACTATTCACCTACAAATGCCAATAGTGCTAAAGTCAAGTAACCTTACTCCACTCTACTCTAGAGCTCTCTCTGTCTCTCTCCAGCATAATAAAGGCTAACTCTCCAAAGACCAGCTGCTTTGTCAGCTGAGCCCTTGACTAGGACAGGGCTGAACAGAGCTCCCAGCCAATACGTGTAATAAAGCATGAAAGAACTCTTTGTGGCTTTAAACTGCTAAGAGACGTGGGGATTTTTGTTACTGTAGCAGAATTCATCCTGACTGATACAACCATCTTACAGTGAGAACTACTGAGTAGAGATTTTTTAAGACCATGTGTTCATTCTGAGCATACAATTCAGATTATTAGAATTTTTAGATGCATGACTTTAGAATTATTTAACCTCTCTGTATCTCATAATCCTCATATGTAAAATAGGGAATACAATAATTCTGTATAGATTGTTGCAAAATCCTCAATGAGTTAATGCAGAAAATGGGCTTGGAGCAGTGTTTATTACAATTAATAATAACTTAATGTTAGAAATGAGATGATGATGATAAAACTAAAACTTAGAGAAAAAAATAAACATCCCAAGGTCATCTCTCTCAACCTTGAAATTTGAAATGATTCTTTCAGATATAAAACCTGTTAATTATACAAAGTGTGTGGATGACCTGAAGGTAGGAAAATGAAACCCCAGGGCTAATCCTCCCATGATGTTAGATGAGGACAGCATTAAATAATTCACAAAGCAAGAAAAGGGCAATGCTGATCACTTGGTCAAGATGAAACCTTAGGGACAATTGTCTCTTCGAGACAGAGCTCCTAGGCAAGTTTGAGTACAACCTTCACTCTGCCTCACCAGCCTAGGTACACAGCAATTCCCACAAGGCTAATTGTGGATTGACTTGTGCTAACCAAAGCCATCTCCCTCAAATTTGCCTAATGAGTTTGGAGATTTTTTTTTCTTATTGTATTGTTAATCTTTATTTCTAACTAATGTTTCAGGGTAATATTTTAACTATTTCTCTGCTTTTATTAAATTCTATATTTCTAAACTAGAAAGGGAAAACCTAAATAGACCAATTCAAACTTCATCTTACAGATAATAAAAGCGGGGTGGAAAGAGGTTAGATGACTTGTACTAAGTCCCTCTTAGTACACATTACCACTCTCGCAGTACAATGTGCTCCTTTGAAAAAGTCTCTCGCTGAGGTTCAGGATTCCTGGGTCCCTATATTTTAGAACACCCCAACCTGTACCAGCTGTGCAAGCTACAACAGATACTTTACTTTTCAAGGCTTCTATTCCTTATTAGATAATAATTCCTGCTCTGCTTTCTGCATGTAGTTATAAAATGTGAACGTCAACCAGGAAAAGGGCAAAGGGGTTCCTTGCTGAAAAACAGTTAATGATTTAAGAAATATGCTTTATCTACTAAAGTCACTCTGAATGTAAATCCTTCAATAAACAAAGACTTCTGTGACAATCAGAAGAATCACTTTTTCAAAATTGATTAATGTAGAGCTTTATGCACTGTGCAAGTGTTGGGATTGGGATGGTCTTTAAGTAGGAGTCAATCATGGATGAGTTTGGTTAGTTGATTGATTAGATAGTTGCTTAATTTTCATCCAAGGATATCACTTAGAATAGAATAAATGGGTTCTGCCTTTCCTTGCAAATCCAACAAAGTGCATGAGGAGCTCTTTTTATTTATTTTGTATTATTTTACTTTGTATTATTTTATTTCAGTTCATTTCATTTTGGTGATTCTGGGGATTGAACTCAGTGCTTCATGCTTTACCACTTGAACAATACCCCAAGCCCTTTTTGCTTTAGTTTATTTTTTAGATAGGATTCATGCTTTTTCCTGGGCCAGCATGGAACTGCAATCCTCCTACTGCTGCCTCCTGAGTATCTGGGATTACTGGTGTGTACCTCTACATCCGGCCCGATGAAAGCTCTTGTGCCAGAAAGCCAAGGTTTAAGATTATCTTCCAAATAAGTCTGACAATACCTTTAACTTACTTATCAGTTCCCTGGCTCTTAAACTCGTCTTCTAATCTAATAAACTCCTTGTAATTAGAAACCAATTATGTATTAAAAATCTGAACCTCATATAATTTTAAGTTGTTCTTTTAACTCTGAAAAACATGGCCTTGTCTCTGTCTTATAGGGGCAATTGCCTTGGCTGATCTTACTATCTTCAATACTGTATGCAGATAAAATTTAATTGAGCTATGACAATCAGGGTCCTCAATTTATCATTTATATTACTTAAAAAAGAGAAAACTAAAGTTGATATATAATTTTTAGTAACTGGAATACATGCATATCTGTGGGCTTAATGTACACTGCTTGGATTTCTTAGGTACACAAACAACTTATTCAAACCAAGAAATTGGGTTATGAGAATAAAAACTAAAACAACCACATAAGGCAAGGAGCAATAATGATTCTCCAATTGATTAAGCATAGCATTGTTCTTCTATTTCAATGTAATGCAAGAGGCCATGTGTCAAAGTATGTGTGTGTGTTTGTGTATGTGTATGTGTGTGTGTGTGTGTGTGTGTGTGTGTGTGTGTACTGGATATGTGCTTTGCACTTTGAGTTGCAATTGTACCTCACATGAGCCTCCCATTCCCATTCTCATGCCCTTGGCTCAAGTGTAAACCACATTGTCTGATTATTGCATCATACCCCTAACAAATCCCCCAATTTCTAATCTCTTTGTTCTACAGCTCATTCTCTAATATTAACCGTAAGTCTAGTCAGATTTATTACTGAGTGCCTACTATGTGACAGGGAATCTTCTTAAGGGATAGGATATAGCCATGAAAGCCACCATGAGGAATTTGGTTTTTATAATAGAAGCTGTATTTAAATAACATTGAGAGGACTCTGAAAATTGTAACAAAAATATGATAAAAAAAAAAAGGCAAATCTGTCATTTGCAGTAACATGGGTTACCCTAAAGGACATCATGTGAGTGAAATAAGCCAGGCACAGAGAGACAAATACTGCCTTATTTCCCCATATTTAGAATCTAAAACAGACAATCTCATAGGAGGAGGAAAATGGTGGTGACCAGAAGCTGAGGCAGTAGATGGTGGAGGGTGGACTGGGAAAAAGGAGAGTGTAGTCACAGGTGTCAAGTAAAACTTAGGTGGGACTACACTTAGTAATAATGTATTTTCAGTAATAACTGCATTTTAAGATAGCTAAAAAAGAGGATTTTAAATGTTCTTGCCACAAAAAAACTAAGCATTCTAGGTGATGGATGTGCTAATTCTCTGATTTTATTATTCACAATGTATGCATATATGGAAATAGTACTTTCTCACCCATAAATATATACAATCATTATTTGTCAATTAAAAATAAAATAAACTTTTAAAAAGGTGATCTGTTTGTGCTTTCACAGGTTGTTCAGGTGAGTAAAGAGCAGAAGATGACAAGCTGGCCAGGAGGCTGCAGTGGCATCCCAAAAGAAGCAATTGTGCAAGCTTCTTTTTAAAGCACCAGATAGTAAATATTTGCAGCTTTGCAGGCCATCTGGTCTCAGCTGCAATGATTCCACCTACCACTATTGTACAGAAGTAGCCATAGCCAATTTGTAAGTGAGTGGGCATGACTTCATTCCAATAAAACTTTATTTATGGACACCAAAATTTGAATTTCATAAAATTTTCATGTCATGAAACATCATTCTTCTTTTGGATTTTAAAAGCTATTTTTTAAAATGTAAAATGTACCACCAGCCTGGCCTGGTGGTACATGCTTACAATCCCAACTACTTGGGAGGTGGAGGTAGGAGGATCACAGTCTAAGCCCAGGCTGGGCAAAAGCACAAGTCCCTATCTGCAAAAGCACAGAAGGTACGGCTCAAGTGTTAGAGCACTTGCATAACAAGTGTGAGGTCTTGAGTTCCATCCACCATACCACCAAAAAAAATAGTAAAAACTATTGTGAGCCTGCAAACCACACAAGAACAGGTGGTGATCTGGACTTTATCCATAGGTCATAGTTCCTCAAACTCTAGGTCAGTCTGAAACTGTGGCAGTAGATAGAAAGGGGTATGGACAGATTCAGAATTTATAAGGAGGCAGAGTTCACAGAACTTGCTGTGTGCATATGACAAGTGACAGACTAATCCCAGCACTGAACCCTAAGAATGGTGATTCCCTCCTTCTATTGCTTCTCACTCCTCGTTATTTCAAGACCTACGTCTCCAACCTCCCTATGCATGACTGCAACCCTGAAGATGCTGTTGCCCTCAGGCAGGTACCTGTGCCATCCCCTTCTGCAAGCTCTCGTTCACATGTCCTCAGATGACCTCCCTCCAGGCCTGCATGGCCGCACAGAATGCCACCTCACACCTAGAGCCTCTGGCTGAAGTACATCTCCTACATGACTGAGCCATGCCATATCCCCCAGAAAGGGCTGGATTCCTACATCTGGTGGGCACTCCAATTTTTTATTACAAGCTTTAAGGCAGCAGGTATGAAGGCGTGTCCTCTGAATGAGAACACTGGTCTATCGATCCTGTACTGATCATCTTGTAAAGAGCATACATTTGAAATAAGAACCACTAGCAAAAGTAGTATACATCCAGATTGAAAAAAATGATGCTAAGACAGAGGCTATGTAGCACCTTTATCACTTTTCTTAAATCTTTCTATTAATAATCCCTCCAACCCGCAATGGCCTATTTACATCTGAGTGATAAAAATGTCTTTGGAAGCAGCTACAATTCCTCCAACTTTGAGTGTCCAAAATGCTCAGTACCCATATAGGAAGCACCTGCTTATCCCACTCACCGACAGATGCTCCCGGCCAGTTTTGTCAGCAACGTCTGTGGAAGGGATTTCATTACTTCTGTTGGTGGTGTCTCCAATGTCATTTGCTGCAGTCCAATCTTATATTGGAGAAAAGAGTAAAGAAGGAACATGAAATCATTAGACTGCCAAAAAACTTGAGAAAAGACCCAGAACAAAGCAAGATAAATCAAAGAGATCCCAAGTCACCACCAATGACAGCCTGGTTTGGAGGAAGGAGCACGCCCTAGCTGCTGAGTTAAATACACTTAGTGTCAGGACTGCATAACACAAAATTTTATTCAACTCAGATCTTTACATCACTCTTGGGTTGCTCAAGTTCTAAACCTGGCTTCTTTGCACTTACAGAAACTATCCAAACTATCCCTTTATTGATGGCATCCCTAAAGCAAATGTGAAGGGGAATCAATCATCTAAGAGTCATCATTTTTAGACATGAAAGGGACTTTAGAGACCCAGCCTGACTGCCAGTTTCTCATATGAGGAAAGTGAGATGATTAGTCTAAGGCCACCTAGCATGAAGGTGGCAAAGCCCAGACATTAATGAATATTTCAAATGATCAACACTGATTCCTGAGCAGGGGCATCTCATTTGAGCAAAGAGCAAATGTTTAGCTTAGTGCAGACAAGGTTGTTTATAAAGGTCTGTATTTTACTTCTAAATAGGAGGGGTGCCTTCAATTTCCATCTTACACAGGATGAACTCAGCCCCAGAGAAACTTTTCTAGATAAGAGTCTTCACACTGGCCTCAGGACAACAAATTTAAATTATATTTTTATTAGCAGAATGCTCCTTTGAATGGAAATGAAAAGTAACAGAAAAACCACCTACTTTCTATTGGTTTGCTATTTTATTCTGAATGCTAAAACCCACATTCTCACCATGTTCATTTTGAGTATCTTTAAACATACTGACTCCAAACATGAACAGATATTATTTATTTACTTATTTATTTTCCCCGCTATACATTATAGCACTCATGCAAAATTTAAACCATTTTTAAAAGGTATACAATTTAAAAGCATTGCATTTTGGCCCAAAGACCCAAAATGGGATCTGAGGTCAATGGAAGGATGACATTTTTGAAATCTTGATGCTACTGAAAAGAAATTCAAAATGTAATTTTAAAATGTAAAAATCACAGTTCACACATAATTCTCTGTGATACAACCTAAGCTACTCTTTCTTTAAATCATGTCATGTCAAATAAAAATAAAAATATGCAAATCACATGCAACAAGGTAACCAAACCACAGTGTGGAAGGAATACTGTTTAACATGCATGAGCAGTTAAAGACAACATAATTTCCAGTTAAAATTAGCTCAAGTTAAATATACACATATAATAAATATATAAACATAGAATGGCTTTATAGAAAAAGTTAAGTGCCTCTACATATATTTAAATATGAAGTTAAAGAACAGAATTTTTAGGATAAATATAACACTTTAACCAATCTTACTATTTTCATTCTGAAGTTATAAGCCAAATCTTGAAATGCAGCCTGTCACTTCACCAAACTTGGTTGCTTTGTGATCATAAAGGTGCTTAGGAAATCTATTAAAGATGGGTTTTCACAACCGGTGAAATATCCCTGGCATTCAGTCAAAGTACCAAAGTAGAGACGAGATAATCGAAAGCCAGTGTGGTGGACTTTTGGGTTCCTTTTCTTCCATGCACCTAAGAGTACTTCACTTTGTTTAGGGTTTACGCCTTTCCACCTCCAGGGAAACGACCCATCCTCCACAAGTGAATCTAGTTAGCTAAAGGTTAACCCATCCCTCTTCTCAGTAATGAAGGCAAGAATGGGCTGTGGCCCAACTGTCTCTTGGTTTGGGAAAAAAGAGCATTTGGTGGAGCTTCTTCTTCTGGGACACAGGGAGAAGCTCTTCCCTCCCCCATCAATATGAATGGCAAAAGTCTCTCTTCCAGCATCAACTTCCACCCATAAGGAGAACCAGTCTTCAGCGAAGCTGGTAATCCTGGGCCAGGGAATGGTGGTGGTGAAAGGTCTCCAGTGACACAGCTGAGCTGCTAACTTAGCCAACTATGAAGCAAGCCTTCCCTAGGAAGTTCCTGCCCATGAGCCACACTTCCTTATTACACAAGAAATATTTCTGCATTAGGTTTACTGTCATAGCCAGAAACTGATATACCTCCCTTTTCTTGGTAGTCATGGCTTTTAAACAGGTAATTAGCTCCCAATTATGGAAACAAAATGTTTGTTACAGCAGAATGGATTTACTACTTCCAAGAACAGAGCCTGAAAGAGAAAGTACTATTTACAGGCACTGTAAATATCAAGGGAAAACAGCTATCAATACTGAATGATTTCTGAGATGTTATTTTGGCCTATGTGGTACTTAAAGTGTACATTTAACTGAGCTTAGAGGTCTTCTTTTACTCAATTTATTTCATTATACACAAACATTTCAGAAAAACACAAAATGAAGAAAATATGATAGCTACCTTCATAAAGTAAATCAGGATAATTTGGGTTTGCACCTAAAAAGCAAAACACAGCAAAGATTTATAAGTATGCATTTGGAAGTTAAAAACTACTGTCTATACAAATTAAAATATGCTAAAACACATTAAGGTTTTTATAATCAAATAAACTGTCTTATAAGACAGGTAAATAAGATCTCAAATTCTGAGTTTGCTTTATGTTAACTGGTCTCCTCCCCACATCTCCAACTTCCATCCTTCAAAAAAAGAAAAGAATAGCAAGAAATCACTTCAGAGATCAGTTAATTATGATAATTTCTTTTTTATACTGCTTTTATTAAATGGCTGACCATGTTAACTATAATTTTGGTATTTTTATTCCAGAAATAGGTCATTTTTGCACCATTTTTGTTATTCTCTGGTGGTTTGGGGGTTACTATCAAACCCTGCAAAATAATATCTAAAACACAATTTTTCTTTCAACACCCTGCAAAATAATATCTAAAACACAATTTTTCTTTCCCCTAGTCTAGGAGGGATTCTAATTCTTATGATACCATTTTTTTGTCCTAATACCACATAGAAAATAAAATTTACTTTTTCTATTGACATCATCAACATATGAAGGATTATAAATAAATATTATGTCAGACAGAAATGTAAAAGTATTCCAACTTGATTTCTGGAGTCAAGATAATTACAGTATTTTGCTTTACGGTATTCCCATGAAAATTGCCGAAAGCATTTTTAAAAATTTAAAACTCAGCATCAACAATTACTGGTGACAAAAACATTTGCTATTTATTCTCTGAGCATAGATGACTGGATCTCTACATGAAAGCCTACTTGGACATAAAATTAAATTTTATCTTAACATTTAAATGATTGCAAAATAAATTTCCATAGGTCTTTTCCCATGCTTTCAGACTTCATTTGCCATGTGAGGCATGAGACAGTAAACCATAATGCTTACTCATGTTTTCATCTCACTTCTGAACCCTTAGCAGAAGGATGTTATTAAAATAAAGTGGAATGAGCTAATTTTCTGTTCATGAATTCCCTAGGGAATAACCAAAGTTAGCCTAAATGAAGAGCCAAATAAAAGTGGCTCCAATGTTCAAATTAGAATTGCAACACATTTCAACTAGAATATGTGTTTTACCAGGGAAAAAAATTAAATGGATGGCTGTGTACTTCAAGTCAGGGATGCTGCATACTGCTGTGCAGTCCTTGCTTTCTGCACAACTCCAAGGACAACTTCCATATTATAGTCTATGTTAATAGTACCACTTGAAATTGTTCAGTGCACAACCTGTGCTGTTACCTGTTAATGCAAAGTCATTGATTCCAGTAAATTTCAATTGTGCTTTGAGGAGTTTTATTATCCTCCACACCAATTTGAGGTATTTTTGAGGTAAACTGTCAGTGTGTATTACAATTGTTTGTACCTTATACAACATCCTGAAAGGGAACTGACTTGAAGATTTCCCTGCAGTTTGAGGGGTGATTCAGTGAATAAATACGCAAAGAGTTCCAGAGTCAGTCTTCCTGATGTCATCAGTAAGGCACCCACCTATCCTCTGAAGTCCTTTTCTTTTACAGAAACCCTAGACCAAATAGTGTCTTGCACACCACAAGGATTTGCTATAGCTGCTGAAGGGAAAGTTCTATAGCACCAGGAGAATGAGTCATTCTTTGAGCTTTTGGTAATCCATTATTTGGGAAGATCTTACTCTGCTGTCTTCTTACTCTGCCCCTCCACATGCAGTCTGAGTCTGAAGGTGTACATGTCCTCCAGTGGCCAACTCTCACTTCTAGATCTCACTCCAGGTTCCTAGGACTGAAGTCCTTTTCCCACATGCCCCAAACCCTCTACCTAGGCCTGCTTGGCCTTTCCCCTACATGTACCAATCCAATATGGCTACCTCTAATCCAAGCCCAGAGAAGTATAAGGACAGAATAAAGACAGATGGTGGAGCTAGCCACCCTTTTTGGGTGACTAAAGTCACAGATCAGAAGCTGGGACTAGCTATGTTCCTACATGAACTCTAAGAGCCTGAGAATTCTAACTATAAACCCATCCTTCCAGGTCATTATAAAACTATGTTTATCAAAAAAATGCCATTATAATAAAGTGAAATGAGCCAACTTTCTGTTCATGAATTCCCCAGTGAATAATCAAGTTTAGTCTAAATGAAAAACCACATAAAAGTGACCCCAATGTTCAAATTAGAATTCCAACATTTTTCAACTAGAACAATATCTATTTTACCAGGGAAAAAATTAAATGGATGGCTATCTTGTTTCCTAATCATCAACTTGATTCATAATTTTTAGGTATTTGGATATAACTATGCACACCTTAATTTGTATTAGGGTGACCATCCATCTTAGATCTTCTAAGACAGGATTCCTGAAGCATTGGACTTTTAAGTTTTAAAATTGGGACACTCCCAGCCAAATCCATTTGGTTTGTCCATGACTTAGGGCTTTTCCTGGATGTGGGACCTTCATTGACAAAGCTAGGAGGAGATGGTCCCTCTGATTTGTTCTCATGAATGCCACACATATGAGGGGTGGGCCTGCAGTGACCATTTTCTCCTATGCACATAACTTCATGAAAACAAAAAGACCCATTCCGAGCCAGATTAATCTCAGCCACACATTAAAATGGGTTCAGTGACTATGAATGACATGTGGGCTTAAGATGCTTCATCACAGAAAGGGAACACACAAACACACTACCCCCACAAAGCTCTAGGAAGACCCAAGAACAACACATCAGCTAACACAGTAAATGTTGGGAATAGAAACAGAATTTGGGATGGGATCACAAGTAAATAGGTTAGGCCATAATGTAGAAAAGGCTCATTTTCCAGACTTATGGGTCCAACCACACTCACCAGCAAAACAATTAGGCCACAGTTAAACGTTCTGACAAGTACCATGTTTTCCTCTAACTTCATTTTGACAGAGACATGAGAAACACTGTCACTTTACTTTTGCTGTCAGTAATAATCAAATTCAGTGTAAGATTATGAAACTTTCTGCAAGACAACAGTAGTTTGTTTTCCCCCCCTTCTAAGCATACTGCACTATGTCTGATGAGGATCTACTTCCTATAATAAAATACTTCTCAGTGGGCACAGATTTCAGGAAGCCAGGCACGTAGATTGGGATGCACAGACCTAGGCAGACAGAAAAAAGCTGTAGCTTTCTTTGTTGACTTCTGGCAATAGCTGAATTTTGAAAACACCATGCCATTTTTAAGTCTAATTTCTAATTGGTTCCTTTCACTTAATTTAAATAAGCTTATTAAATACCTGCAGTTACAGACCCTTGTTGGAGGAATCCAGAACTAAAAGCTAAATAAGGCAAGGCAAGCACTGGTTATGAGCAAAAAAAAAAAAAAACTCTAGTGCAGAGAATGAAAGATGAATGAGTCGCATCTGACTTGAGTCATGCCCTTGTAGTGGGCATGTTTCCTTGAATAGTATATTCTAGTAACTTTCATCAAATAGGAAATATCTGATTCGGGCATCAAGAGCCCATCAAGCCCTAACACTTCATTCTGGAAAACCCTGGAATAAATTATGGGAATCTGGGCACTCTACTTAACCCACTGGCACGCTATGTTCTTATATCCCTCCACAGTAGGCTCACATGTCAAAGCCACAATTCCTCCACAACAAACAGAAAGTGAGGACCAGGTAACAATCTCTGCTGTCTTGTGGTCAAATTCTGTCTTCTGAAAAGGCTGACATGTCCTGAGGTGCTACATGTACTTTTGCTTTGTTCTTGACCTGAGGAATGTTATCAGGAATTATGGAAAAGGGGTCATGGGTCCAGAGCATGACAAAAGCACCCCAAATGAAAAGAACAACAGGAGTGAGTCACAGCCAGGACTCACTCCTGACAGAGCCAGAATAAACAGGCAATGGCTGAGCTTCTAAGAGAAGAGTCTTACAGCATGGAGGATTCCAAACACAAAAGACAAAACTACTTTTTTTCTTTTCTCATAGTATTAAATCAAAGCACTTCACCATCCTCTTAATTCCACGCTAAATTACCCAAAGTAACTTAGGGCTTTTTCATGTAGTTTCTGATCTTGGCTACACCTCATGAGTAAATCTTAGAACTTTATGTAAATCTCCATGAGTATATCTTATGACTTGTTAATGGTAAAACGCTATAGTTTAAGGAAAATAGTGAAAAGAGAGATAGCTATCTGACAGTAGGAGTCATTTGTATTCTGCCACCAAGATAAAAATAATGGTGAGGCCAGGAAAACACCTCTGTTTCCTTCCTTTACACTTTTAGTCTCCCTCTAATACCCTTAAAAGAAAGAAAAAGATTTTTTTCTTCAATTCTATTTGCAGACAATTTGTGTGATCTTGAAAAATGTTTCTAAGAGTTCCATATGATAAAGCAATAGCAAAGGATATACTCTCTTCAAATAAACCATCCTTGCTTTTAGTCAACAGCGCCTTCTAACGTAGGTGGGTCCTCCTCTTCCTCACTTTCTGAGAACCAGGCTGAACACAGAGCCTGATGATGCGGGGGGTTGGGATGTCTGGGTTTCATTTCTGCCTCAGCCACTAATTTGCTATGTAGCACTGGGATTCTCTTCCCTTTTTCTGTAACAAAGGAGTGTTCCATAGGATAGGAAAGGATAATAGCATTGGCTTTTGGCAACTCCTCAGGAGCTTTGGGAAGCATAATTAATTAACATTGTCCTCTTGAGATATAAAGAGCTATTTAAGTATAAATCTTAATTATCATGATTATTATGAGCCTACCGCCAAACCATACTCTTCTCAGTTATTTAAGACAGAAAAGCAGGTAGAACTATCTTTCACCCCCATGACAAGAAATGGTTCCTGACAAATGGCCAAGGCAACAGGTGCCAGGCACAGAGGATGTTACATTTTTTTAATTAATAATTCTGGGAGAAATTTCTTCTCTGATGTTCATTGGCTTAATCAGGCTGAATCTAAATCTGCCAGTTTGGGGCAATTCTAAGCGCTGCAGAGAGAACTCTAGTTCACCCAGACGTC